AAAAAAAAAAAAGTAGCTGCTTCACAACTTTAAAAAAAGTTTATTGACATCAGAAATAGGCTTAGAGTTGCCCTCAAATTTTACCCTCATCTTTCAATGAATTTAAAATCCTCCTTAGTTCCAGTTTGATGCTCTTACGGGACAAATTTTCAAAGATGTTTTGAAAAAAAAGAAAAGAAAAAAAAGAGAGAAAAATCATACCTTGGTGCTTGTCACTTGAAATGGAACTTTTGAGCCCTTTGTAGCTGGGGATGTCAGCTTCTCAGCTGGTTTTGAAGGGATTAGATTCTTAGCAGGAGGCTGATTGTGCAGAACAGAAGACAGGCAAAGCTGCACAGTCTCCTTCAGAGCTTTCAGCTGTGACTCCTGGGGAAAAGAAGAAATTATCAGTTGTCTAAGATGTGCTATTATGAACAGAATTGCTTGCTTTCTGTCTCTGCATTAAACCCAACATTTACAAGCAGCTGTTGCTTTTCTTATTAATGGAAGAAATTAAAGCTGTTTAAAAGCAGTTCTTGTTTATGTGATTAGATTACTGTGCATTACACACCAAACTGCCTAGAAAATCATTGCACTCTTCCCTTTCCCCCATGCAATTTTAGCCACACTCTTGCAACTAATTATTCAATATTGTTTACCTGAAAATAAACAAAAATACCATCTACCAAATCATACCAATCTACCAATCATAGTGTCTAGACTTTCCATATATTAATGAAAGAGAAGTAAATGTGCACAATTATTGCAAAGATGCAGACATTGCCTGGATTTTTGTTTATAATGTTCAGAGTAATTGGTATTTTTCCATGGGTTATAAAGATCTATTTTCATCCAGCAAAGATTATTTCCCTCATGGGCACGTTATGGTGTTGCAGTATAGAGTAAATAAACCATAAGTCTTTTCATCTGTTAAGAAAATGATTGTCAAGATCCATTACTATCCATGAAGCTGAACTAAAACTTTTAAGTGGTGAAGTGTTTGAAACTCATGTTAAAACACTGCTATTTTATTCACAGTATTACAGACAGGTGTGTTAATGAAAATAGCAGTCTGGGACTGAAATAAGCTGAGACAGTAAGAATACTACACAGATAAGTATAGCACTGAGGAAATCTCATTTTCAATCTTTGCTCCATCACAGCAGGACACTTAAGAGTCAAATGTTAGATGCTGAGGTAACTTCCTTATACTCAGTTCAGGGGGAGTTTGGCAGCATTTGCCTTAAAAATAATAATAAAAACAAATCCTTGCTCTCATTGTTTATATTAAGAATGCGCCTATACATACAGGCTACATTTCAACCTTCAAAGTTTTTTTGGATTATACATAAATCAAGGTATACCACAACACAAGTAGAGAGAAGATACATGTATAAGTAACATTGAACACCATATACTGTGTATGTGATATAGGACACATAAAATATAAAAATATTTCACAGTTAAACAAATCCTTAGTAGTGGCATTTGGTATCCACCACCTTTTTCTAGCTTATTTGCTAAACAAATATTTTTTAGAACCTGACAAATATTCCAGGTTTTACAGGAGATAAACTTCCCCTGAGCTGGAACCAAGGAATGTACTTCCCGACTGGGAAAATCTGCGTATTTCTTTAAAAACAAATAAACAAACTCAGTTAGTAGGGTACATTTCAATGGTAGGATCTATGACAACCATAAAAAAGACTATTAATGCACAGCTCAATAAGGAAAATCATAGAAATAAGAGATGGGACAGCATTTGGTTTGTTTGCAAAAGGACACACTTAAATGTTTTTCCCTTGAGCTGTGTGCAGTAAGGAGGAATGCCAGATTATAATCAAAAAGGACATAACTTTGCATGAATTATTTGCTAAAATGTATGAACCTTACATCAAACTGTTATTTCTCTGACCTAATGGCAGTGTGAAAGGGAAAGAATTACTTTATCTATCAGACTCAGGGATCTTTTCATTTCTAATTGACAGCAGAAGATCTTGGCATAGTCCTTTTCATGTAATATGTCTTTTCCACTACCTGTCCAAGCAGTGACTGCCCAGAGAACATAAAACACCATTTGACATAATGAAAATAAGCTCAGACTCTGAACTGGCAGAGGAAGCAGACTGTCTCATTTTGCTTGTAGATACAGACTGTTATAGCACTAAATGACCTCAGTGCTCTCTGCAAATCACACTGGTCTGAAACCACATTCCTTCCATCTAGAAATCCCTCTGGAGAATTTCTCATCTTCTCATCTCCCACCTCTGCCATCCAGTGCTTGCTCTGCCTTGGCTATGACAGTCATTTTGCCATTCCAAAGGTAAAAGCAGAACAGGTGATTTTGTTTTCATCCTGTGGGGTGTAAAATTCAATTTTGACTTTGCTGCTAGGAGAGTGGGCAGCACAAGGGTACAACTTAAGGAAATATTATTGGAACCAGGGATTGTCATTTGACAACGTTCTCAATAACCTTGCATAGGTGAGATTGTAGTCAAAATAGCCTGTTTGCTGGTCAAAATACTGCCAACATTTAGCACGTCTTTAGATTTCCCAGATCTGTTTATACTCTTACCACATGGCTGGATTCAATATAGAATAATTTGGGCTGTGGAAAATGCAAACTTTGTCAGTCTTCCAAAGGTCCATCATAGCAACTAGAAAATCACTCAATTATTTATTTCAAACATAGCTCATATTGCAAAAAATGCACATATTTCTTTACACATTACTTCACTCCTTTAGCTGAAACTGTGTGTTCACATTGTCAAAACAGTTAAGGCCACAACTTCACATGGTCACATGGATGGACCATTTGCTGTCTCTAAATCTCTTCAGTTCACAGTTCATACAGAAAAGCTCTTAACCAGGGGAAAGAGATACCTACAAATTAAATGGTCATATTAGTCTACAGTTAGAACTAGTCAAACATGGGCATTTCTAGTCTGATAAATCTGTCTCATAATTCTCACTGGCATGAACTTTGTCTTTTTCCTTCCTCTGCACAGCTTTTTTACTCCTGCTTGCCATTCCCACTGCACTTTCACAGCATGTAAGCAATGACACCATCCAAAGACTGTCTCAATGATGATTTGCAAGATGACAACATGGGGCTTCTGATAAGACTATGGAACCACAAATGAGCCGTACATTAAAATTCCATAATATTGAATAGGACAGAAACAGAGGGTCAGAGGTGGGTGTGCTGCAAGTCCTCTTTTAATTTGCAGACAGAATCCCTTAACAGCATTCTCATTAAAAGTTCCAGGTGTCAAATATTTGCCTTCTCCTTCACAACTCCCTGCATCATAATGAATAACTGCATTCAGAAGATATTTAGGGCAAGCATTGCTCTCTTGCCTTGGCCACAGACTGTATTTGCACTGGTAAGAGCCCCTATCAGTGAGTGCTCCACCAGCACAAAAGGGATATGCTTACTTTTAACTTACTATGTGGAGCAGTTCAGTATGCTAACTATAAACACAGGATGTATTATCACCAGATGCACCCAGAGGTTTGATTATAATGCAACTGTGAGCACTGTTTACAGAGATAACATGTTGCAATGCTGGATGCAAAACCTCACTCAAGTGGATGATTTCAGTGACTGCAGTACTGAAGATTAAAAGAAAAATGCTTTTAGTGCAAGGGGCATTCTTTTAAAAAAAACATGTCAAATGGAACCTGAAAATACTAGAACACCAAACCCAAAAAAGCAGTCTTTCAAACCATATTGAAGTTTTTTTTTCCTTTCTGATAAGCTGCTTCCCTATTGAATGTTTTCTTCCCAACTGCCCTAAATCTAGAAGAAAGTTCCCCTTCTTCTTGGTCATATTAGTCTCACCCTAACAAGAGCCTGACCCATTTCTTTACTGCATCCTACTTTGAACTATGACTAAACCTCAGATAAAAACCATATCAGTTGCAGGCCCATTCTCATTAGTCGACTTTTGCACATAAAGAATCACAGGATTTGGCTTTCTATAGAGTTTTGAGATGTTTATTTCTGATTTGATTGCCCTCCTCTCCAATAACTTTGCAGCTGTACTGAACTTTATGCATCATAATTAGTTCCACTGATTTCAGCAGTGTTACTCCCAGGTCCATGCAATTAAATATGCATCTAAATCCTTGCAAGGCTTTCATTTGTTTTTGTCAAATTACACTGAAACATTCACAGCTGATAGAGATAAACATGCTTACATTACATGACACTTCTTACTTTGTCAAGGGCTGCCTTTTCCAATTCATCTTTTGCAACTGCTAGTTTTTGCTCCAGATCTGTTAGCTGTTGTGCCTGTGGGAATAAAGAACAAGAAACTGATGCAATCTACAATGCATTTTTTCCCATAATTTTTCATGCAGTGCCTGTGAGAGAGGAAAGAATATAAATTTTACAAGTAATATATACGAACTGGGTCAAATTGCTTGTAAAAGAACCAGACCTCAGGGGATTTATTTTTTTTTTTCTTGAGGAAAAGTATATTTTTATGTGGGAACTGGGCTCAAATCTGCCCCATTTATGTGAATGGAAGTTTACTTTAATTTCAATGTCAAAAGTAATTCTGTAATATAAAGTATTTAAAATTATACCATAATATCCTTCTGGAAAACTCAAAGTTTTCAAACAGTTTTGATTATTTTGTTCATTTCTCTGACTTCTGTTTGTAATCTGAAACACTATTTTGTAGTTTTAATTGAGGTGCTCACATTAATGTCATTTGGCATGAACAGAAATTCCAAAAGACCCTAACATACATGCATGCAGACATCCTATGAAATGCTACTGTCTGCTGGTATATAAACAAGGACTTAACTCCAGATTTGTTCCTCCATCTCCTTCCCTGGAGATAGGAAATTCACAAGAGCTAGTTATGCAGCAACACAAAAAGCATTTGGAGAGATTTGAGTTCGAACTTGGGGTCAGACAAGCAGCCTGCACCCTGTGCAGAAGGATTGTGGGCTTTTGTATGACAACAGGATTTTCCTGCACAGTTCTTCAGGAGGAGATGTATATGCAATGTAGGGAGTGCAGGGGTTCAGAAAATGCTTTTAAACACTCAGTAAAGACAACAATTTTTTCTCCCCTTTCCTAGGAGTTGCATACACTCGAACTGCTCACTTTAAGGGAATACATGTTCTGCAAGGACTTCCTATTTTAGGGAGTGAGGAGCTCCCAGATTCCTGCAGTTCTCAGCTCTGTCAGTAATAGCACAGTACTATGCAACCAAAAGAAATAATGTACAGATTTCTTTTACTGTTGTATTGCAGAAACAGCCCACTAGCTGTTTTCCTGACAAATAAAAGGGGAACCAGAAAGACACTGGCCTAACAAATTATCTTTTCTCTCTGAAAATTTAATCAGGCAATGTGCACATTTTGTGCATAGAGAGTAACTCGATAAAGTTCCAATTTCTCAGTTAAAAAGCAATGAATTTTCCCTCAGTACCACCTCATCCTCACCATGTTTCTGAAGTTTATCCCCAACCAGATATTATTTTCTTGCCAGACATTTTTTAAGATCACATGTACTCTTAATATATACATCAATATAAATAAACACAAATATAAATAAACACAGCTTCATGTATAGTCACACAATATAAAAGCTGCTTAATGTCAAGTGGTTGACTTGGTCTCTGTGTTGGGGCAGTGATGGTATTTCCAGCACATTTCATAGCTGAGATGGATTAGTTTAGCCAAACCTGTAGCCCTCAGCAGTTGCTCAAGTGCTGATTATTAGCATCAGGCATAAGCTGCAGTGGCTGATAAAATGACAAAAATCTGTAATTTTCACTTCCCAACTCACATAAAGAACTACTTAGTTGCATTTTAAAACAGGATTAAGCATTTATCTGTGGATTTATCAGAGCAGACACAGTTTCACTAGTGTAACCCATGTACAATTAGGCAATCTGGCTTCAAAACAGAAGTCAACTGCTTGCTCTATGAGGGGAAGTCTGTCAGTGCAGTCCCTCATTTCCAGTGCATCACATTTCTTACACTCTGTATGAGTCACTATCACACAACACACGCCTCACACCACAGGTTTGATTCCTCAGTCTGGCAACAGAGCATCCAAAACAACAAAGAATCCTTCCATCCAGTTAGAATTTGCAAAATTTAACTGGACTTACCACTAGCTTATTGGAGAAAACACTTATTAACAGATAAGAATGTTTCTAGAGTTCAATTACAGTTGCATTTGTTACTGAGTATAGTGCATAATTTCACTCATAATAAACATCCCAGATAATGTTTGAAAGACTGAAGACTAAAAGCCTGGCTCTGATGCAGAGATAGGTCTCATTAGATACTAGAACTAGACTAATTTCTCGCATCATTAATATTTTAATCATTGCTACTTACTAAACTATTTTTAAAGTACAGTTGTACAAATTAATAAATTTTCAATTACTGAGAACCAAGATTTAAAAAGAGTAGATGGAATTGATTTGAATTGCCATTCAAAAGGAAATGATACAAACTAATGTATACATGATAAATGTGAGGCCAGGGTAGCATCTCAGATTGTGTGCATCACTAAAGGATTAGGGTCACATGGTGGATTGCCACCTAGTGTGGCAACTTCTCCATTAAGCACCATCTGTGTTACAGTTTAAATCACTGGAATACCAGAGCTAAAGTTCTGAATTTCAGGATGTCTGGTTTTCTTCACCCCGTGTGTTATGCAGGACATCTGAAAACGTGGAGAGCAGGTAACAGTGGTTACAGGTGACTGCTGCTTCTTTCTCTGCAGGGAAATCTGGTGCTATATTATAGTGCATTATATTCAATGTAACTGCAGCCACATCAAAAATCCAGCTGGAGGAAATAAATGTTTCATTTCTTTAATTGCTGCCAGTCATTAGAAAGAATTAGTTAATCTAACATACTGTAATAACAACTCTTTTATCAAGTAAAATATATTCAGTTTATGGTGAAAAGGTATTCCTCCAAAAAACAGGCTCATAAGTGCAAATAAAGTCTCTCTGAATGCATCATTTATCAATGATGCATTTTTATTTTTTGTAATACTGTCTTATTTTGATGGGCTAACTATTTCTCTAACTTTATTTTATATCACAGATTACTGAGCCAAGAAGGCAGTGATATCAATCCAACTGACATCAAGTGAGAACTAAATCCTGGCATTAAAAATGCATTTTTTATTAATCACTCACTTGAAAGCAGTGATATTTATTTACACCTTAGTCCCAAAAGTGCAGATTTTTTTAATTTTTTTTTCCCTGATCTTTTTCTATCAAGGCTGAATTCATATTTCAATAGTTTCATTGTTTTTTTAACTTACAAGTTTTTTTAGGGAGCCTAATTCAATTAATGTGGCTTGGATACTGAATAAAGAAAAAAGACACAATACCAGTAGAACTACACAAGGCCAATTCTGATAAGGTGTAAAGTGTTTTCAATAAACATAGTCTGGAAAAAAAAAATAAAAATAACAACCTTATTTCTGGCATTTTTGTAGAAACAGGTCTTACTGAGGAAAAAGTGAGATAAATAATTTGACTTTGTTCAAGAAAGTATAAATAACGTATCAATATAATACAGGTAGTGGAGATGTTTATATTCCTCAAAGTTACACAAAAGCAACAAAACTGGGGGGTGAGAGAGAAGTTTCTTAATCTGAAAAACAGTGGCTAGAAGCTTTACACTTCTCACTTCCTTAGGTACATTAGAAGAAAGCAAGCATTTACTAGTGGTCTTGTCTGTAGAGAGCTTCCTTCCCAAACCTGGCTAGTCCATAATCTTTTCCACAGGCACCTCCTCCTCCAGGTCCTCCCACTTCTTCACAAGAGTCAGACAAAACATTCTCACCCATGAGGCGAGTTACTAGATTTTTCCTGAAGACACAGGTCAGCCAAACCAGGCTGTGATCCTATTTCTGCACACCATTTAACAAACCAAACAGCACAATAACTCAGGGAAAAAATTTCCTTCTGAGAAGTCCCGAAGCAAGTCCCCTTAGTATGATCAAACACTGTGTAGGTCAGGGGGACAACCAAGGGAGAGGTGCTCACCTGAACATTTCAGTCATACGTGCTCCCAGCTCTATGCCATGTTAATAGAAGGATATAAATTCCACCCCCAGAATGATGAAGGGTTATGGCTCAGGTCAGGCTGTACAGCTACTGCAAACACTGCATGCTTGTTAGTGCAGCCAAAAATGTTTTTTTTAAAAGGCTTATTAGCATTTATTTCCCAGAAACTTCTACACCTTGTGACTGTGGAATATAAAGTATATTCCTGGTCTAGTGGGAAGTGTCCCTGCTCATAGCAGGGAGGTTGGAAGCTGATGATCTTTAAGGTGCTTTCCAACCTTAACCAATCTATGATTCTCTTCTGTTCCTATATATTGATGGGTTTGAAATTACTTCACTACCTTTCTTTTCCTTTTAAAAAATTGCAAATTTGGGGGTATTTTTGCTTTATTTTGTTGTTTGTTTGTTTTGGCCAGAAAAGGCTAATTTATGTCTTTGTGTTAGGATTACTCACACGTGCAGAGACAAACATAGTCATGGTTGGGTTTTCTTCACTTCAAGACATGATAAATTGGCATTTTATGTGGCTATTACTAAACTTCAAAGGATTTATTGTATTTCTTCCCAAGGATTGCTGTTTATCAAGGAGAAAATTATCACACATTCTGCTTAATTGGAAAACATGATTGACTAAGTGATGTTTAAGCACACATTAAATAGATTGGATATTCTGAACTCCATTTTTTCCAGCATAGACCTTAAGTAAATGTGTAAGAAAAAAAGAGAAAATAAATTACTGTAAAACTTTTTATAATTGATTCTATTTTCTAACTAGGACAACTTTTTAATTGGAAACCACTTAACCAGAAATTTGAATAAATTATCTGGTAAACACATTTCTACTGTGCTTATTCTGTAAGCATTATTTGCAACCTAGAGCGACGTGTGCTTCTAAATTGCACTGCTAATTGTCACACAAGGTGCTGAGAAGAACACTTTTTGGCAGCTATTCCATTTAATCAGAAGGGCAGCAAAACCCAGACATTCAGCAACATCTGAATTGTATTTCAAGCACTTACAACAAGAAGAAAGATCAGTTAAAAGCATAATTTCTGCAAAGACTCAGAGTTTGTGCATTTTCTTACTGTTCATTACTGCCACAAGGCTTTTATCTCCCATTTGTGACTATTCTGTATGTCCATTAAAAAAAGAAAATAAGACATCTGTGCTGTTTTTAGTAGCTGAAATTTGGCTTTTCCTTCCCTAACCGCCATGTTTTTCCCTCACATAAAAT